CAAGAGGACAGGACTTTCTTTCCAAAATCTTCTGGAACTTCTTAGCACACTCCAGATATGTTAGAACTACATCTTTCAGAATTCCTAACTATCACACTGTCTGGGAATTCTGAGGGTTCAGAAAGTACCAGGTTGGGGAAGATACCTCTTTTACAAGGAACTTGATATTTATTTTAAGAATAACTTAAAGAAGAAAAATAGCTAATGACTAAAATATAGACCTGTCTCAGATAACAGAAACAAGATAAATAACAAGAAAACACAAATTAAGGTTTCTAATGTATCATAAACTATAAATTATTCTTTGAATTTTTCACATTATTGTTTTAATTTTGAGAATATTTTCCTGGACATTTGCAACATCATTTGTCTATCATGATATTATGTCAATATTCTCTCCTATACAAAAAGAAGGTTTCAGCAATTTTATACCATGCCATGTCCCTCGAACTGTGAAATGATGACATCTTTATTAATCTTAGTCCAGAAATGATGAGATGAAATTATAGTGGGGATGGAAATCAGGTTTTGATTTTGTAAAGGCTGAATAAGGCACTCAAGTGGCGGCAAGGTTCATTTCTCCTTGTTGGTGCCACTGGAGACTGCCCTCAGGTAATGGTGGTGCTGAGCTCAACACAGACCAACCAACATCAGGCTTGAGTGACAAGCTGGTTGGTAAATGTCTGTCACAATTAGTGGATCAACAGCCATATACAACGTTGAACAATGCTAGGGCGTTCCCTGGAGGCAACACTGCCTGACCGCCGCAACAAGTGGGCAAAAGCTGCTGGTTCAAGGATGGAATTGGCTAAAGAAGCTAGCTCAAAGATCATGATTATGCACTGCCACACTAAACATCATCACCTTGACTGGATGCAACTTCTGAGCTTGCAGATATGCTAAAGTGACGCAAGGTGGATATCATGTGCATACAAGAGATGTGTTGGAAAGGCCAAAGGTCTCATGACATTGGTGAAGGATACAAACTAATACACCACGGTGTGTCCAGCAACAAAGGCATGGCTATCATAGTAGGTGATAGCCTACTGATATGTGCAGCCATGTTGCTGAGGTCCATCGATACTCCAACTGCCTCACGTCAACTGTCATCAACGCTGCTGCCCATCAGTTATACGTTTACTTGACCTATGCCCCACAAACTGGATGTGATGAGGAAGAGAAAGAACAGTTTTCAATGGAACTACAAGATTGTGCATCTACATGCCTGCAAGAAGACTTGCTGCTTCTCTGTGGCGACCTAAATGGACATGTCAGACGTGTGCAGGAAGGCTACAGTTGTCACAGTGGAAATGGATATGATATACAAAATAATGATGGACAATGAGTCCTGGACTTTTCCAAAGCAAAGGACCTTGTCATTACCAACACATTTTTCAAAATGCATGTCAGTCACTTGGTCACCTATGCCAGTGGCGATCACAACAGCCAGGTTAATTTTTGTCCTTGCGTGAGGATGTGACTGTTATGGATATAAAGGTATTTCCGTCTGATTACCTTGCCCTGCAACATAAGATGCTCGTTGCCGATATGAAGATCAGCAAACATGCAAAGAGTGGCAGCAGCATGACAGATCCAGAGATAATCAAGTGGTGGAAGCTATGGGATCACAAGGCAGCCATCATTAACCACAGGACATTTCCTCCGATGACCATAGGCTCAATTGACACCACACGGACTGCTCTCTGTGAGAATAACCTTAGGAACTACGAGATCAGGTCATCATCAAATCGACAAGCAGTACGGCCCTGGACAGAGCAAGTGTAGCAGAAGGTACAGGAAAAGAAGGTGGCTTACAAGAACTGATATGTGCAGAAGGCCAATGAAAACTGGCAAAAGTATATCACTGCAAGAAAAATGTCAAAGAAAGCTGTCACAGAGACCAAAGCCAATCACTACTGGGACTTATATGAACAACTGAACACAAAGGAAAGTGAGAAAAACATCTATCAGCTAGCAAAATGTGCCAAGGTAGCAAAAGACATTGAACACTACATATGTGCTAAGGATAAAAATGGACAGCAACTGCAGGATAAACTCAAAATCCTGAAATGCTGGCAACAGAACTTTGACAAAATCTCTTATGTCGAATTTCCACACCCACCAATTCCTGATGGATTGGCTAATGCTGACCCTGTCCTGCACACTACACCTAAAGAGGTTACCAAAGCTATCTGTGATGGAATGGAATTATGAAGGCCAGGCTCAGGGAGATAAGCGTGTTCTTAGTTCACCGGAGGAGCGTGGGAAGATCAAGAGGATGAGGCTGGCACCTCCCTGAGGAATTCAGGGTGTTGTGGCTGGCTGGCTTGGGAACTAGGTTTGAGTCTGGGGAGATTTTCTATATAGAGGTTATAGCTAATAAACACGGTTGAACTGGATTTGTATTGTCTCTTGGAGTTCTTTGGGCTAAACCTGACATCAATCTTCTGGTCTTCATAATTCCATTCCATCACACTATCAGTGGCATGAACAATTCGAGAGTGCTTGGCCTGGACAATCTACTAGCAGACGTCTGGAAGCTGAAAGAAATTCGTGGTACAGCAGTTAATTGGCTGACAAACTTCTTCAATGCCATTGTGGACTCTGGCCACATGGCTGCTGACTGGGCCACAAGTATCACAGTTCCCCTTTTTAAGAACAAAGGCAACCTTGCAGACTGTTCCAGCCACCGACTAATCCGCCTCCTGTCACACACAATGAAAATTTTTGAGTGGATCCTGAACCAGTGCCTCTGTGACATCACTGAAATCTGTATCAACCAGTGCAGTTTTGTTAAAGGCTTGAGTAGCACAGATGCCATTTTTGTGGCTCACATTCTCATGAAGAAACATAGAGAAAAGAAGAAGTCATTAAACCTGGCTTTCCTTGACCCAGAAAAAGCTTTTGAGCATGTCCCACATCAGCTGATATGGTACACACTACATGACCATGGTACGCACAAGCTACTCATGAAATGGGTCCAGATGCTCTGTTAATACCAGCAGCTGAGTGAGATGCACCACCAGCTTTCTGACAGCTTTCCTGTGAAAGTTGGCACCAAGGCTCAGCATTATTGCCATTGCTGTTCATTCTCATCATGGATACCATCATGCGAGATGTATCACAGTGACCTCTGAGCCTTGCTCTACGCCAACGATGTCATGCTCACAGCTACCACCAGGGAAGAACTGTAGTGCTGTGTCCAGACATGGAACGACTATCTTAGCCAATTTGGTTTGCACCTGAATATCAAGAAGACTGAGTATCTAGAGACTAGCCTGAGCACCTCTACCATGCAGGTCAGTGGTGAAGATCTAGCGAAGACAAACTCCTTCTGTTACTTAGGATCCCATCTGCAAAGTGACAGCAGCATTAGTGAGGAAGTGCACGCAAGGGTGAATGCAACATGGCTGCAGTAGAAGGAGATCACTGGAGTATTCTTCAATAAGTGCACGCCAATCCATCTAACAGTGAAAGTGTACAGAATGACTGTCTGCCTAGTAGCACTTTATGGCACTGAGTGCTGGCCAGTCACCAGAAGTGTTGAGTGCCCTTTACATGCCATGGAGATACATATGCTCCATTGGTCATTTGGTGTTCCCCTTCTTGACCACATCAGCAATGATACAGTCTGGCAGCAGATGGGCTTGCACCAGTCACAGAGAAAATGCAGGAAAAACGCCTACAGTGGTATGGCAATATTCTATGAGCAGCACCCCACACTGTCACCTGCACTGCCTACTACTTTAACACTGATGGCAAGTGCCTGCCTCGAAGACCACAGCAAAGGTGGCAGGACATAATTAATGTGGACATGCAAATTATACAGTTGGACCAGTTACATTTGATGGCATGAAATGGCATTCGTTAACCTGAAAAGTGGATCCTGTACCTGCAGGACAACGTGGAGGAGGAGGAGGAGGAGGAGGAGGAGGAGACACTCAAGTCTAAGGCCTTACTGGCACACTCTTTTCCTGCACAAATGCTTGCATAAATTGAGCCCATCAACTAAAAATGCTACAGCATGCACAGTATTTTATTCAGTAATAAAGCAAGGCAGAATTAACTATATATGCACTAGAAAGGATCAAGCACAATGAATTTGTACAGTGAACCAGGAACTAATTGTTAAAAGAAGCACATAAAATACTGCATCATATTTCGGTACTATGATGCAGGTTGGTTACAAGGTGACAAACATCATTGAATTCAAGAGTAAATATAAACTGTTCATTAAAAAAATGAAGCAAATAGCCATTCAAATTCAGTAGCTTAACAAATGAATTCATATTAATCCTCATGCTCCTGTAATGAACTCCAAAAAATGTTTGAATGAGACTTTTGAAACTGAAAATTGTCCATCAAGTAAACCAAACAAATGTTCTTAATCCTTATGCCAGAAATCACTACCCCATCCCAAAAAATATACTTTAAATGAAGACAGAGAATCAATTAAGTTAATAGCATGTGTGAGAGAAAAATGTTAAATGTCCAAATTGAGCAAACAATTCCAATGCAAATCAAAGTGGTGGTTATCTGCTATAATGTCCTTCATGGCATAGGACCTGATTATTTGAGGAATTACCTATCTCCTGCAGTATCTACCTGTCCCATTCAGTCTGACAGAGTTGGCATGGTCTAGGTCCCATCAATTAAACAATATCACCTTGTTAGAACCTGTTATGGTGCCTGCCCTCTGGATCACCGTGCCACCTGAGATTCATACGGCTCCTACCCTGGCCCTGTTTAAACAAGCCCTTAAAGCCTGGCTCTGTCCCAGGCCCTGGATTAGAATCGGTGGTAGAATCCTTGTGGAATGTTTTGGTTGTTTAATTGATTGTTGTTTTTCTGCAGACTTTCTTTTGGATTATTTATTCTGTTTTTCTAGTGTTTTTTTTTTAAATGGTTGCATCCTGTAAGCCACTCAGAATCATACAGATTGGGGCAGCCTATTAAACAAACAAACAAACACAATGAGAAGCCTTTACAAAAATACTTACAGCTTTCTATCTCTAGTGTGCAGTTTTGTTCATCTAAGGGATATCTTCGTAGGTCCATCATGCATGCGGCTGTTGTTGTAATTCTAGAAAAGACAGAGATGTAAATACTTTTTTACTTTGTTCAGCCTGGTTAAAATCTAGATAAAAGATCAGAAAATGTTCCATGTCACTCAAGGTTAGAGAAAGATATGCATATTTTCAAGAAAGCCATGTACTAGTTTTGGTTGACTTTGAACAAGTTGAGCATTATTTTTGTACTTTATATTTCATATATATTTCATATTCTATGGACAAACTAATAACAAAGGAAAAAGATGAAACAGCTCAAATCACAGAGTTCAGCCTATAAACATCTAAAGAAAACATAATGATAAGAGATCAGCAAGAGATTGCTTCACAACTTGGATTTTTTAAGAAGAAGCCAAGGGAGGGAAATTTAAGTTATACCACCATCTTCCAGAAATGCATGTATAGGAGAATGCAGCTGGAGGAGCCCTGTCCCCTATTCTGAACTATTAATTTTTGCTTTATTTGTTCATAAAATCATTTCTGAGTTCTTCAGATATGATTTAGAATTTAAAACTTTAAAAGAATTTACAAACATTAAAACATGAATAACTAGACAAGGAACAGGGGAACAAAAGGCAGAGAGGTGCTGTCACAATTAACAACACTCAAAAGCCAAGCAGAATTAAATTGTTTTCACAATCCAGCTGAAGCTATATACAGACTGGTCTAACTTCCTTATGGAGGGTGTTCTACAAGCATCCGTTAATTAGCCATTCTTGAGGTTCTAGCATATAGAATGGTTTCTGAAGCAGAACTTAAACTATAAGGAACTACAAATAAGAAACACTTAGATCTTTATAAGAGAAGAAAAGTCAGAACAGCTTGTAGAAGACTAGTTATAACATGGTAAAATAGCTATACAGACACATTTCAGTCTCTAAACAGAAAGTACTTAACTCATGGATTACTGTGGAAAGTTCTCCTTTCCTCAGGAGAGTGGCTGCGAAAAGATCCTGGTCACTGATGAGTTTTAATTTGTTGTTTCTTATAGTTTTTTCAGACAATGCAATTTTATACTTTCTTTAATATATCTTACTATCTCACAGTTTCATGCTATTGTAGAAATTTGTGTGGGTTTGGGTTAAGAATTTGTGTGTATATAGGTTTATGAGGAAGCCTTTAAGCCTGTCTTTTTAAAGTCATAAACTTAAGGTATTGTTTTTGTAATTGTAGTATTGCTGTGTGCTGCAGTGTATGTTTTTCAATGCAAGTACTCACAGAGTTGCCAAATCGGAATCTGTGCTGTTACCACTTATGTCTGAAGATTGTGCTTATTTTCATATGAAAAGGTATATATTTATATTTTTATACTCCCCCCCAAATTATACCACAACACTGAAGATTCAAGGTGATTTATAATTCCACAAAAGAAAAATATACACGACTATATGACCCCCACCCCTTACATATTCAAATATGAATAAAAAAATACAATGTATCCCTAAGCATTCATATTAGTACTGATACACTGTAGAACAGTTTTAAGAATCCTCTTAAAGTCCAGTAGGACGGGGACACCATATATCTCAGGAGGCAAATTATTTCAAAGCATGGGACCATTGTCAAACTACAATGGTCCCTACAAAGGTGTGTATGTGGGGGGAGATGTCCCTAATTTCATATAGAGTGGGGACCCTCAAGATCCCTTCCAGGGATGCATACCCAGGATAGGTAAGGCATTGGCTGAGAGAAAAGGTCATGCAAGTGCTTGGGAGCTGAGCCATGTAGGGTTTAATAAATAATGAGGAGCACTTTGAATGGGACTTAGAAGTAAACTGGTGATCAGTGAAGCAGCTGAAATATAGATGTTACACTGCTAAAATGATTATTTCTACTTAGCAGCTCGGTCATCACATTCTGAATCAAGTGTAGCTTCTGAATTGTCTTCAAAGGCAGCTGCATGTACAGTGCATTGCATGATATGATGAGGACAGGATCCACTGTAGTCAATGCCCCCCATTCCCTGAAGCCACAAACTCTACCTGCTGCTCCAGGAGGATATTCAAATTGTGGAACTGCTCCTTCAGAGGCAGACTAACCCCATTCAGAGCCAACACTGGAGCTGGGATAGAGCCAGATTGATCATTGACAAATAGCAACATCATCTTGGATTAATTCTGTTTGTCTGATCCTCACAACTTCCCCACACAGGATCTGGATTCCCACAGCATCCCCAACCCAGTCTGACATGCTCATGTACAGCTGAGAATCATCAATATACTGATGATGCCTCACCCCAAACCAACATATGACCTCACACAGCAGTTTCATGCAAATGTTAAATATCATGGGCCTAATAGCACATGAATTAATCTGTGTCACATTCCACAATGGAGCAACAAAGAGCTCAACTGTTCTTTTCCCATGGTCACTATTAGAACCACCCACTCAAGAAGGAATGGAATTTCTGTAACATAGTGCCTCCAATCCCCAATTCTTATATATTTATTACCTTTCTACCCTCTACAATTGCACATACACTCAGCAGTTTTACAGGAGCATATAAATTATTAAAACATCCATATAAAACAAAAGCCAAAGATCTACACCCCTCCCCCCCAAAATAAAACAGGTATCAAGACACAAATGCCCGCCAGGAGAGCTCCAATTTTACCTGCTTCTGGAAGGAAACTAGGTTGGAATTAATCTAAACTTCCATGAGAGGCCAGTTTAGAAGACCAGCACTGCTACAAAGAAGCAGTGCCTCTGAATCTTGGTTTCCCACACCTCCTGAAAGTGAGGAACCACTAGCTGTTTTTCTGGCAAGATTGAATTGGTGTGGCCAATTCTAGTGAGTGAACACATTCCAGAAGGTAACTTGGTGCCAAACCATAAACTATTGTTACTATTGTATGATCAGGGATATTCAACTATCTTCAGATGCATCCCCTCTTTATTTCCACCACTGTGTCTATTCATTCATTTCATCTTCTGCAGCTCCTCAGTAAACTAAGGAGCCTACTGGGATCTCTGAGAGAAGGGCAGGCTCCTTGGAGGCAATCATACCCAATGCCTTCACCATCTCTCAGTTCTAGAGCTTGACAAGAACCCGTGGTGAATGGCCTGCAAGACCTCTCACACAAAGACATTTTAATTTAGCAGGTTCCTGTGTTTCTAGGCCTGCATAATGGAGCTGGAGACAGAAATGATATCGTTTAAGTAAAAGTTTGCCACCTCATCTATTTTTTGAAGAACTAATCATACGTTGCAGATGCAATCATAAACCTTACCCAAAGTAAATGGATTTTTTTGAGAAATCTTATAATTATGATTTCTGTATCCTGATACATCTGCTTCTGCTTGTATTGTTAAAGCCTAGATTAAGTCTCAAGGTATTTGCTTTATGAAAAATGAACACATAAGAAGCTAATGTAAAGTTCTGTTCTGTTTAAAACACATTCAAACATATTTATATTTTCTAATGCTGAAAGATGTTTTGCAAAATTAGGACATAGTCCAAAAATACATTTCCCATTAACAAATATTCTGCAGGCATTTATAATTTCTGCAGGCACTTATAATTCCATTATGGCTCTAAACACCTTGCAATTGCCCTGGCCTGTGTCAAGGCAAAGAAGTATAGTAGCAGAATGTTATTCATTACATTTGCTTTAAAACATTAGAAGAGAAAATTATTTAAATCTTACAATGACGTGCAGTTTCCAATTCTTTAAACTAATAGAATTTTGCATCTGTTTATTTTATAGATTTATATACTGTTCTTCATCAGAACTTCCAAAACCTATGAATTTATCCTTAGGATATATCTCTGCTAAGAGTAAAAGAAACATAAAATAGTCATTTTATTGTAATAATAATATTTCAAAAATGCAGATGCTAAATAAAACAAATATCCCAGCATATCATACCATTTACTCAGAACACAATCATCCAATTGTATAGTTGGATGAATCATTCTTCAATCCTTCTAATGTCAGCTGAAAATACCATGCAAGTATGCTTCCTCATTCTTCTCACACACTGAAATAATGAATGATGATTAATTTGTGTTACTTTCTACAGCATCTCTGAAAAGCATAATAGCTCTAACCCCAGTAATTGGAAAATGCAGTATTGTCACTTATTTATAATCACTGTGTTTAGTATTCACTCTCAGAGAAATGGAAAAGCAGTGAAAGCAAGTAATTATTCTGTGAAAATCAATCTGCAGTTGTGGATCCCTTTGAGCAGTGTTTTTCACACTTCGGAACTTTAAGATGGGTGGACTTCAATCCCAGAATTCCCCAGCCAGCATAGAGCATTGAAACATTTTAATCAAATAAATTCAGGAATAACATAATACAGGCATTAGCAGGACATCTGTTTCTTTGCTTAAATTGTGTGGCTAGCCTGTAGTTTATATTTCAAAAGAGCATTGTTATGTTTGTATTTTCTTCAAAAAGACTGCAATTGCTTTATCAAATCTCAGAAGGTCCAAAAACATCGGGAGCATGGTAAAAATAAAGTCCCCCTGAAGTCAAATTTAGTCCTCTGTACCTTCATAGGCATGTCTATGTAGTTATTTTGGCCACAATAGGGAAGTGATTTGTCATTGCCTTCTTTTGGTTGGGTAGAATCCCTTAATGCCTTGGAGATTTCCAATAGAGCACTGGACTGTTTCCTTCTTCTGTCAGGCTCTAGGCAGCCAACATTACCAAAACCAAGATTCAAGTCTTCTTTAACAAGACTTATTAACAGGGAAAAGGATTAGGTTACAGATATTTCAATAAATGGATTACTTTAATTTTTGAACCTAATTTATTTTTCAGCTCATTACGGCAGACGCTTCTTCAATTTCTTTCTAACAAGCCTTCTCTGAACTGGCTGGCTGGCTGGCTGCTTGTTTCCCAGACCACTGAGGAAAGGGCAGATGTGTGTTAATGTTTTCTTATCTGTCGCTGGAATTCTTATCGGGTTGTGAACATACCATTAGACCTCTTAAGTATTTTCCTGGATCAAAAGTTTAAAGCGTTCTTTTTTTACCTTTTTTAACATGACCACATATTCTAAAACT